CTCAGGAGTGACTACTAAGTCAACTATACTTCAATTAAAAAAAGATCATTTTTTTTTTAATTCTTATGACATCTGGCATCTGCATTTTACTTAATTAACTATGTTACAAACGTTATCCCTCTACCCAGCTGAAACATTTTATCTTCTTTAAATTTAATAATTGAAAAAGCTTTGGTATATTTTCAGATAGAAAATCCTTAACCCAAAAATGCTTCTTGATATATTCCACAGTTTTCTTTTTCCCTAATGTTGAAATGCATTTCATAAATACAGTATGTGCACAATTAGTCTGTGTGGTGGCAAACTGAGAATTAATCACTGCACAATCCTTTGAAATAAATATTTCACTGAGCACGAATATTCCATATTAATAAAGCTAATAGGATTACCTATGCCCACAACATCCTTTAAGAAACACAAGCCCATATTGAAATATAGCATAATCCTTCACAGAATATGTGTTACAATTAAATATAGCTGGTTCCATTAAAAAATGTAATTCGTTATAAAAGATTGAGAAATTCCTAAGCTAGAGAAGCACTATATTTTATTAAAGTCTTTCCTGAGATATAGACAAATTTTTTAGACTTATTTTTTAAAGCGTGAGCAGGTATTTAGAAAGTGATTTTCATAGCTGGTAAAATTCACCACCCAGAAATATTTTACTAGCATAAGTGCCAATATTGCATGGTTTATTTTTTGGAAGCCACACAATTTGGGTGACTTTGGATATCTTGCTATAAATAGTGATTCTTACTAAAAACAGCAAAAACATATCAGTCAGTCTGGAGGGGGAAAAAGAACTTTGATGCATTGATTTTCTTAGTAAGTTCAGAATTGTGGAAATCTAAGGATTCTCAGGCTAACATCATGTTTTGTCTATCTATTGCCATGTAACAAGCTGCCCTGAAACCACATGACCTAAAACAACCATTTCATTTTGCTAATGACTTTATGAGTGAGGACTTTGGGATGAGTTTGGCTGGGTGCTTAGTCTCTGACAATTGTAACTCAGTCCTAGAGAATCGACTGGTCCTAGCGAATCACCTTGCAGGATTGGCTTCTTCATGATCTTTAGTCTTTTTCTCTCATTTTCCACAAGATAAATTAATCTCTAAGGCCCCTTCTCTAGATTAGGCTTCTTAAACAAGGCCTGAGTTTTCAGGATATTTGGATTTCATAGAGTGTGGCTCAAGGCCCCCAGATACCAAGGCGAAATCTACCAGTCGTCTGAATTCCTAAAACAGGATATGGTATTGTGTCCCATCTGCCACATTCCATTGGTCAAAGCAGTCTCAATCGAGCCCAGATTTAAGGGGAGGAGAAAAATAGACCCCCCGACAGTTTGTAGGAGAAGAGTCAAAGGGTTTGTGGCAATCTTATAATCTGAGACATAAATTGTTAAAAAAAGACACTTCTGAAATTTTTTTTTTTAATTTTTAATTGTGCATTCTCTATTTCAAACCAGTGCTGCATTGGTTAACATATGGCCCACTATACACTTTTCTAATGAGAAAGCTTCAAAAAGCTCAATCCTCAAATGCCAGTACAAACACTAGTCTGGCAAAAAGTCACCTGAATTCCTCTCTTTGCTACACAGAACCTACACTGCATGGACTTGTTTTCCCAGTACAGAAAACATTATAGTAAACAAGGGATTTGAATTTAGATATTTACCCAGCTTCTCTGAATCCTGGGCTCTTTTTTCCTCAGTCCTCTGCCAGGATTTCTGCTGTTTTTCTTACACTTTGGCTCCCCACCTCTCCTAAACTAATATGTACTTCCTGGCAAATTAGAAGCATTTTGGACTGGAGCAGAGATTGTGGCTTGAGGGGAAAATTAATTCTTCCAACTGAATAGTTTCTCCTGTTCACCAAAATGTGCAGTTGGAGGCTTAACTCTGTGTGTGTGTGTGTGTGTGTGTATTTGGCTGTCAGTTTAAAAAGAAATAAAGCTAAAGAAAAAGTAGAGTTTTTATGTACGAGAGACCCTAAAGAGTCTACTCCTACGTATCACTTAGTCTGTGGTCATTCCCACATTGTGCCTTGGTAGCTCTATTTGAAATGCATACTCTCCAGTCTCATTTTTCAGCTCTTATATTTGGTGAACATTCTTACTGAGGGCTATAGCAAACTATCATTATTCTTTTTGTATTTAAGTATTCACTCCTGTAATCTTAACTGCTCAGATATCATTCATTTTGTCCATGATCCATCTAAGTAAGGACAATAGTAAAATGATAGAGTGTGCTAGTGAATGTTATAGCATACCATCCTTCAGAGGGTTCTTGAAAGCTACATGAGACAGAATACAGAATACGGTTAGATTGATAGGTTATATATGTGGACACTCACATTTGTATGTAAAATTCATTATATCTGAAGTGAATACTTATCCATTATATTTATGTTCATAGCTGTTCTACGTTACGATATTCTAAAGAAAATTCGGTTCTTCGTGATTTACTTGGCTAGTGCACACTTTTCTATCTGGTGGCATTGGTATGCTGTGCCTTTTATGCTTGTTGGCAACCTGTGCTAATTGAAATGTTTATAAAATGCTGATTCTGAAATACTGCAGCTTAACAGTTCAATAGTTCTTTAATGGGCCCTCTGTTTTATTAATGAAATGATTTATAGAAATATTTAATCTCACTGATTTACCATTAGCATTAATGAGTCTAGTTATTAAGCGTTCTGTTTCCAAAGGCTCTGAAAACAGGCCTGGCAAGTGTGTAGTATTTTGCGATGAGTTATTTGTGCTGAGATAGAATCAATGCTTTGGGAAGCTTATTTCTCAAGTGGAACAGCATTATTTATGAACATGTAACTTGATAGCTCTTTCTGTAATTTTCATACCATTGCTTTCTTATTTACGAGAAATTTAATACCAATTATGAAAACCATCCTGCAGATTTTTAAAGACATTTAGGTGACATGTAATTATATTTTTTCATATTAGTTAAGCTAAGCTCTGACAGGAAACCATTTAAAAATACTTAAACTGATCCTTGCAGACTACACAGGTTTCTTCTCTAGAGAAGCTGCATTTGTAGTTTCTATTGTCTATGGTGAATATTTGAGGTGACTACTACTATTTCCATCGTTTTCAAATAACTGAACCCCACAAAACATTTTTGTATCCACTTAAGTCATTCTTTTTCTTTTTTGCATATTTAAATATTTCACGTATTGTGGTCAGCACTTGGTTAGATACCTTAAGTTTGTTTATGAGGTATCTCTTCAACATATGATGTCATCTTTTAGTTCCACAAAATAGATGGATGTTTGAGAGCTATGTTTTACACCTTTGCCAATCTTAAACAAGACTCTAATTACCTATCTTGAATATTAAAGAAATTTTTTTCTTAGGTTTCACCTTAAGGCTTTGATGCTCTTAGAAATGTTAGTGCCTCTTTGAGATTCCAGTGGCTATTTTGGATAGCAAATCTGTTGAAATAAATGAAACTGGGGAGAGGGAGCATAAAGATGTCTTAGGTATAAGATGTCAAAAATGAGATCCTAAACTATTCAATAGCTCAAAATGGCATCAGATGGCTTTGCTACGATTACTCTCTCCTTCCATCTTATAATGTTGATGTATGATATGTCATAATATGGAGCTGGCATGAGCCATTGACATAAAATACCACCATTATGTGGTTTAGCCCACTGAAATGGTATATTTCCTTTTTCTCTTGTTCTGTTTCCTTCTTGAAGCAGAATTTGTCTTGGTACTTTTGGCAGCATGTACATATAATTTATGTTGGGAGAATTTGATGACTAACCAAAAACTTGGAGATTTTCATAAAATCCCCCTTCTATTAGCAAAGCAACTTTTTTTCCCATAAGTAAATTAGTGGTAGCCCATGATTTTATGGCAAAATTGAATTTCAAAAGTATGTTCATATTTAGAAGGGAATTTAAAAGACAGTGATCTGATTCTTTGGCCATAGTTCAAAGAAAAGAGATGCAATTCAGGTAATTTCAGGAGAAGACAATTTTACATCTTCAACTTTGATTTTACTCTTTAGTTATTCTAAGCTATTCAAAATAATGGAGCAATGTAAGTTAAAAAAATTGGGTTTTTGGCTCACATTGTAAAATAGCTCATCAAAACAAAGATGATTGCATACATAGTTTCAAAATTATCTGAAGTAATCATAAAGTTAAAGACTTTTAAATGGTTAATAATTTATTTTGCAAAGGGGTCTCAACATTCATGATGAAATTTAAAAAAATGAATATATTTCCTTTTCTTAAGACATTTTTGATTTTTTTAGGAGGCCTTATGAGAAAATACAAATCCTAATATAAATTAGCATAAGGCCTTTGGAAATCCATAATGAGGCAAAGATCTATAAATTAGTGGAGGGACCGACACAACTCAGAATACTATTAGGTCACAATTTTTGAACAAACCCAAAATTATATGAAGTAAAACAAAGGTATAATTTTTTCAATGAAACTCCTGACTTTTACTTCTCTTTTTTCCTAGTTACACAGCATGTAGTCAGGAGGAGAGCCTACACAGTTGCATACAAAATGAACTAAATAAAAAGTAAAATGAAAATAGAATGTGTTAGTAATTCAAGATCATATTGCTTCTTTTTTTTAATTTAAAGAAAAAAAAAGAACTATAGGTTCATGGTTTCTTATCCAAAATTCTAAAGTGCATAGAGCTCTAAAGGAAAGTGCTTTCATAATTTGTTTTGTTATAAACCCCAACCTGAATTAAACAGGCTGTTTAGAGTTTTTGTTTATCACACTTAATGTGAGCGTCATAAGTTTTGCTGATGAAACATTAAGGTATTAAGTAATAAATAGTAATAAATGCCTTATTGTATTTCTGAAATTCTAGTGAATCCGTATTCTGACACATCTGCCTCAGGTATTTCATTTAGGATAACTAGAATGTAATTCAAGTCTAATGCTCATGTTAAGAAAAATCTCAGTCTTAGTGTTGTTTTGTTCTTAACATTACTTTTCATTTTCTATAAGGGGTCATGACTGTGAACCTGGACACCATGGCATGGGCTAAAAGCTGGAGAAGACTGATTCATCAGCTTATGCCTGTTAAGATACATGTTTTCTTTTCTTTCTGTTAAAGGAAATACAATGTGTTTCAAAGCATGGGCTTTGGGTCCAGCTGACTTGGGTCTGGATATTTAGCTTTATTAGCTTTGTGACTTTGGACAAGTCATTTTGACTTTCTAATCTCTAATTCTCTACTATCTTTTCTGTGAAATAGAAATGAAAAATTGTATACCTTTTAGGCTTGATATAAAGGCAGTGAAATATTACATAGAGAAAATTTAAGTCAGTGTCTAGGTCATACATGTATTTAATAAATAGCTAAAATCATGATAAAAAAAATCTGGCCTAAAATCAAAACATGGAGGAGCCCTAAGAAAAAGGTTATTTTAATGCATCCAGGATGAATAGGATTATAATGCTAGATCACCTCTAAAACTATTTTCTGAGATAGATATTTATATGATTATATTCTGAAACAAAATATGACCTCTCTTCCACCTTTAACCTGTGGTAATTATGTTTAAATCTTTAAACATGTCTTTCATATACTAGGATTAAAAACAGTTTCTGTAATGGTTTCTAGTCCACAAATTCCAAAGGCCATTATATTCCCCCAGATTCTTGTGTTTAAGTTATAGTGAAAGTGGCTGATTCTTGTTACAACTTGTCATAACTCTCAGTAAGAAAAACCAAGTGAAAATGAAAATAAATCACTAGCTGAATAATATATTTATAGGTATTTGGAAGCTAGAAAGACCATATAGAATTAGATAGTGTAATGTAACCATCACTTTGCTTCATGTATAGAAAACCAAAGAGGCTAATTTGTGTGCCTGATAACACAAGTAATAAGTAGCAGAAATAAGCATTGAATGTGCTTTCTAGGTCAGTTTTCCATTCTTTCTGTAGTAAAACTGTGTATTATTTCAAAAAAATTTATATAAATTATAGATTATTTGTATGAGTAGGAAGAGAGTGTGACATTACAAGAATAAATTACATGTTATTATCTGATATTTGGTGCTTTTTTTTAATTGTAGGTTTTGTAATGGCATTTATCTGTGTATAGATGTCCTTCATCATGCTAGAATCCACTGGCAGTGCTTCACATGGGAGCACTTTACATTTGGTACTTGCTTTATGTCTCAGTCTGCTTCTACAAAACAAAAGACAAATATAATTTATGGTAGAAAAGACATTACATTAACATCAAAACAGATTCTTGCAAAAAAATGAAATGGAAAGTGTGAAAAGTATAAATTTTTAACAATACAGGACTAATAAAAATTGCTAGGCTAAGATACATATAAAGAATTATAAAACTGTCAAGTCTGTATTTTTAGATTAGAAGATACATTTATTTGTCATTCTTTTATAATCCTGTTTATTTGTAGTAACTCACTGGATAAATGTTACTTTTAAAATAGATTTTATATCCTTTTATTATTAATTTTGTGAATTCCAAGGAAGATTTGCTGGATACCTACACTCACAGTTTTATTTATTTTTCTTTTTTAATTATCTTTCTCATTTATTTTTATTTTGTACACAATTTTTAAAGGTGACTTTCCATTTACAGTTGTTACAAAATATTAGCTATATTCCTCATATTGTATGATATTTCAGCCTGTTTTACACCCAAGAGTTTGTACTTCCTCACCCCTATATTGATCCTCTCCCCACTAGTAACTACTAGTTTGTTCTCTATATCTATGAGCCTGCTTCTTTTTTTGATATATTCACTTGTTTATTTTACTTAGCATAATGCCCTCCAACTTAGTCCATGACACTGAGGATGGCAAAATTTCAGTCTTTTTTTATGGCTGAGTAGTGTTTCATTGTGTATATTTAATTCTTAATCCAATCATCTATTAATGGACACTTAAGTTGTTTTCGTATCTTCAGTACTGTAAGTAATGCTGCTATGAACATTGGGGTGCATGTATCTTTTCAAATCAGTGTTTTTGGTTTTTTTCTAATACATACCCAGTAATGAATTTGCTGGGTCATATGGTAGTTCTATTTCTACTTTTTTGAGAAACCTCCATACTGTTTTCCACAGACATTCACATGTGATTTTAAATATATTTAACTGTTGAACTTATTTTTTCTACAATGTTAACATTAGATTGTTAAATATTGTCCTGTTAGTAGTTCAGATGACTCCAGACACACCTGAGAGGCAGAATGTGATGTATATTACATTTATTTCATTTTCTAGCTGTGGGAATTTGAAAAGTTAAGTAATACCCCTAAACCAGTTTTCTCATCTCTAAAATGGGAATAATATCATACCTATAAAGATGGGAAGCCCTATGAAAAGACTGGCAGGACCCCCAGGTAGGACCACTACTTTCCCGGTGGCGCCATCCGGTTCCCTGGTCTGGTGGCATTATCTCACTTTTGTGCTTCTGTAAAATGGCTTGCTTCTAGGAAAGCAAAACATACCCTAAGATTCTGTTGGTTCCCAGAGCTCACTCCTGATTGTTACATTTGTCACACCTCATTTGCATGTGGTGCAAACCTAGCTCACTCCTGACTGGTCCATTTGTTACACCTACCCTGCATATGATGTTGCAAAATGGTGCAAAGTCTTGACTGGTTGTCTATAAAACCTGTGTAAACCTACAGGCAGGGTCCAGAGCTTGGAGTGTTAACTCCTCTGGGCCCGCTGGCGAAATAAACCTGAGTTCTCCAACCCTCTGAGTGCTGCTTGGTCTCTCGCCAAGATCCAAGTTGCTGTAACACTAAGCTGTGACACTTTGCTGTAACACTATCTCTTAGGATTATTATAGGGATCAAATGTGACAGGACATTAAAAAAAAGTAAGTGCTAAATGTACACTAAATATTATTTATTACCATTATTAACTTAAATGTGTAAATTCTCCAAGTTATGTCAACTAGACTTTAGGAATGAATTGAATTTTTGTTGGTGAGATCGCAAATTTAATATTTCTGGTGGGCAAGCTGAGAAAATAGATCAAATACCTTAAAAAGGTTTTATACCATTTAACTACTATGAATTTAGTAAGTTTTAAGTTTGTTTACATTAAATTATATATAGATGCACTCAAAAGGATTTTGTAAAATGGTATTCTGAAAGTATTTGTTTATAAAAGTTAAAGAACATACAGAATGTACTATTTTGAAGCTACTAAAAATTTCTTAAAATACTTGATGAAGAAATAAACTGTTCATATTCACTGAATCATAATTCTCATTATAGGAATTTACTCAAAATATTTAAGCAAACAACTGCATCATTAACTAATTATAAACATGCTAATTGGGTCACTTTTGTAACTATGAAAAAGGGAACAAAAAAAATCCAAAAATAGAGAATTGTTCATTGTAGTCATACCATATATTATGATGAAATCAATGAGAAAATTTTCTTTTAGAGTATTTAAAGATATGGAGATAATTTTACATATTGTTATTTGGAGGAAAATCAAAATATAACATTACCACAATTCTGATTGTAAATATATGTATATATAAAAATATATTTATAAATTATATGTTCCTGACAATGTTGAGAACCAAAGTACGTTTTAAATCCTGACTGCCTTTCTCACGATCATCATCAGAGAAAATACAGAAATAGAAAACACTGATTTGAAGTACTAAACCAAACCAGATCAATCTGGATACAGGCTTGAACTGGTGTGTGTTTGTGAGTGCATGCAGGTATGTGTGTGTGCATAGGGAAGGGGCGTGTGTGTGAAACCTGAGGTGGAGTTTGACCAGAGAATCTGATTGCAGGAATGATTTTAAAGTCTGATTGTTTCTGGTGGTAATGATCACCTGCTTCTCATAAGGACATAAGCACAGCGTAGGCATCTGCTGCAGTAAAACCTCTCTGACTGATCTACTAGTGGGAGCACTGTCTCTTCACCTCAGCCCCTCCAAAACCTTAGGGTTGGTAGATTGCAATCTAGGCAGGCTGCCTTCTCGAATGGAACTATTTTGTTGAAGATTTAAAGACCTTGAAATTGTGACCAGTGTCTTTGCCCCACAGAGTTGTTCTAAAAGAGTAAAAGCAAGAGTGATTTTTGTCTCCTTGGGGTTCAAAACCCTAGAACACATCACCACTCCTCTCCTAACATTCTTTGACATTTCCTTATTGCACATTACCAGATAAAATAGGTGATACCCCCAGTAGAAAATGAGTACTAAATAAAGATTAAAATTAAATACATAAAGGGAGAAGTGAAGAAAGGAGCATATACACCATATTAAAATAGTGCTTTTCCCTGATTGCTGTATTGTGAGTGATGTTGGTTTTCATCATGCTTTTTTCCCCCAGTTTTTTCCTACATTTTCTGCCAAAAGAACATGACTATCTGGCTTATGTTATCAGAGTAAGAAAGATAAATAAGCAATGTTTAATTTAATCATCTGGAGGATTCAGAGAATTCCACACTTGTAAGTTTTTATCAGTACCTCCTAATCTTCTTCAGAAGTACTTGTTTTTCTTTCCATGTTTAAATGGTAAAAAAAAAAAAAAAAAGATATCATGTTGTATTTGGCGGTCCCCAAGACCAGCTTCAGTTTCAGTAACTTGGAATAAGTACTCACCATGCTCGGGAAAGCTGTAAAACTCATGGGTGTGGTTTATTTCAGTGCAGGGGTCAGATTAGGATCAGTAGAGGTGAAAGGCACTTAGGGCAGCGTCCAGGGGAGAGCAGGTGAGGCTTACACGTGTCTTCTCTCAGTGTTCCGCAGTCAGCACTTCATTCTTCAGTGACATTGTGTGACAATATGCATACAGTTTTGCCTATCAGGAAAACTCAGCCTGTCAGCTGAAAACCTTGGTGTCCAGGCTTTTTACTGGGCCTCTGTCAGTAGCTGCAACTGACCACCCACCTGGCTGACTTCAGTTTCTCAATTCCAACCCCTCAACTTCAAATTAATATTTTGTAGCCCACGGTTCTCATGATAAATCACATTATTAGCATAAAATATCCTGGCATGGCCCAAGGCCTCAGGACACTCTTATTACATAGGACATTCCAGCAGCTAAAGGGTCTCTTCCAGGAGCT